TAAAAGCAAAAATGAACTATTGGGATCTCATTAAGAAAAAAAGCTTCTGCATAGCAAAGGAAACAACCAACAAAAGTAAAAGGCAATCAGCAGAATGGGAGAAGATATTTGCAAATGACAGATCAGGTAAAGGGTTAGTATCCAAAATCTATAAAGAACTTTCCAAACTCAACACCTGAAAAACAACCCAGTGGAGACATGGGCAGAAGACATGAATAGACACTTTTCCAAAGAAGACATTCACATGGCCAACAGACCCATGAAAAGATGCTCAACATTGCTCATCATCAGCAAAATACAAATCAAAACCACATTGATACTACCTCACACCTGTTGGAATGGCTAAAATTAACAGCTCAGGAAACAGATATTGGTGAGGATATGGAGAAAGGGGAACCCTTTTGCACTCTTGGTGGGAACACAAACTGGTGCAACCACTCTGGAAAACAGTGTGGAGCCTCCTCAAAAAATGGAATTACTGTATGATCCAGTAATAGCACTACTAGAAATTTATCCAAAGGAAATAGGAGTGCTGATTCACAGGGGCATGTGTACCCCAATGTTTATAGCAGTGGTATCAACAATAGCCAAATTATGGGAAGAGCCCAGATGTCCATCAACTGATGAATGGATAAAGATGTGGTATATATAAACAATGGAATACTACTTGGTAACAAAAAAGAATGAAATCTTGCCATTTGCAACAATGTGGATGGAACTGAAGGATATTATTCTAAGTGAAATAAGTCAGTCAGGAAAAGACAGATATATTTTCATTCATATGTGGAATTTGAGAAATTTAACAGACACCTATGGGGGACGGGAAAGGAAAAAAAAGGTTACAGAGGGAGGCAAACCATAAAAGGTTCTTGAAAACACGAAACAAACTGAGGGTTAATGGGGGGGGGGGTAGGCAAGAGGGAGGGGAAAATGGGTGATGGGCATTGAGAAGGGCACTTTTTGGGATGAACACTGGGTGTTGTATGTAAGTGATGAATAATGGGAATCTACTCCCGAAGCCAAGAGCACACTGTATACACTCTATGTTAGCTAACCTGACAATAAATTATATTTAAAAAAAAAAAGTGGTATATATACCACTTATATATAGTGTTAAGTCGTAAGTACTAGAGACATGCCAAGAAATCTACAAGGAAAATGTGGAACATTTAAATAGGAAGCATAATTTTATTTAAGATATAACTGGCCAGTTCACACGAATTGCTCAGAATTGTCAATGTATGTGTCAACAGTTGGCCCTAAGTGAAGTTGGCTTTTACATTTATTGATATTGATTAAAGCGATTTTCCATTTTGAAACTTCCCAGGCAAATAAAAATACATTTTTCTGACAGCCAAATACAGGACAAACTTAGGGAAAACAGCATGTAAAACTCTATATGAAACACTTCCAGGGGCACCTGGGTGGCTCAGTTAAGCATCTGACTTGGGCTCAGGTCATGATCTCTCCGCCCGTGAGTTCAAGCACCATGTTAGGCTCTGTGCTGACATCTCAGAGCCTGGAGCCTGCTTCAGATTCTGTGTCTCCCTCTCTCTGTCCCTCCCCTGTTCATGCTTTGTCTCTCTCTCTCAAAATAATAAACATTAAAAAAATTAAAAACAGAAACAAAAAAAACTTCTGGAGGTACCTGGGTGGCTCAGTCTGTTGAGCTTGTTGATTTTGGCCCAGGTCATGATCCTAGGGTTGTGAGATCAAGTCCCACACCAGGCTCTGTTCTCTGCCTTTTCCCTGGCTTGCACTCTCTCAAAATGAGTAAATAAACTTTAAAAGATTCTCTCTCTCCCTTTCCCTTTGCCTCTCCCCCATATACACACATTTTCTTACTTTCAAATCAAAACAAAACAAAACAAATACTTCTGTGACTGAGTAAAAGGAGAATAGAAGAATTTAAAATGCTTTATTTTTAATAGCAATAATTGCATTTCAAAATGACATAATTCACCATAAATCTATAGCTTATGGTAGGAAATATAAGTGTAAACAGCCTATATACACTTTATTGATACAATTTTATACACATAAATTTATATACTATCCAACAATCTCCAAAGAAAATACCTACAAATGTACTTGTTTAGACAGTAGACAACAGTTTTCAAAATAAATCAAAATAGAGATTTCCACTCCTCAGGTGCATATGGTGGAATTATATGTATGAAGATCAAATCTGAGGTATATAATACAATAAAGATATTTAACTTTGTTCCATGCCAGCCATGAGTGACAGTGCTAGAGATTCCACTGTGGAAAGAATAAAAATAAGGTTAAAAAAATAGGTTTAAATATTTGAAAATGTCTGAATAAGGTCTCAATGATTTCAGAATTGAAAGTATTTAGACTTTTCTACTTTTAATTAATATATTGATTACTTTAAATGTACAATAAAATGATGATTATTAAATACAAATTGAAAGAGTATGATTTATTTCTATTTCAGATCATTTTAATTTTGAAAACAAAAAGTCTGGGCATTTCACTGAACAAATCACTCTTGTCCGCTATGTCACAGAATTTGGAGTCAGTTCATAACAAACTTGCATAACAATCGCCCAATGCAAAAATGGACAAATGCATCAATGTTTCCTCTAACACATTTCTAACAGTATTTTTTTAAATGTTCAGCTACTCTTAATTAGTACATTATAATTGGAATATGTAGAAAAAAGGAAGAGATTAACCCTGTGTACTTTTCCAAAAAAAATAAAAAGGCTGTGTAAAGACGGGAATGCAAACTGGTGCAGCCACTCTGGAAAACGGTATGGAGTTTCCTCAAAACATTAAAAACGGAACTACCCTACAACCCAGCAATTGCACTACTAGGTTTTATCCAAGGGATACAGGTATGCTGTTTCAAAGGGGCACATGCACCCCCATGTTTATAGCAGCACTATTGACAATAGCCAAAGTATGGAAAGAGCCCAAATGTCCACAGACAGATGAATGGATAAAGAAGATGTGGTGTATATATACAATGGAGTATTACCCGGCAATCAAAAAGAATGAAATCTTGCCATTTGCAACTATGTGGATGGAACTAGAGGTCATTATACTAAGCGAAATTAGAGAAAGACAAATATCATATGACTTCACTCATATGAGGACTTTAAGATACAAAACAGAGGACTATAAGGGAAGCAAAAATAATATAAAAACAGGGAGGGGAACAAAACAAAAGAGACTCATAAATATGGAGAACAGAGAGTTGCTGGAGGGGTTTTAGGAGGGGGGATGGGCTAAAAGGGTAAGACCCATTAAGGAATCTGCTCCTGAAATCACTGTTGCACTATATGCTAACTTGGATGTAAATTAAAAACCAGACAGATAAGCTATATTGAAGCACTGAGAAAATACTGTTTGATGTGTGACAGATTTTGAACATGTTAAAAACTACAACAAAGTTTCACAGAAAACTAAGCAATTGAGTAAAGGCAATTCTGGGGGAAAAATGTATTAGAAAGAAAACAAAGTACGTTACTTGGTTTATCTAGTCCACAGAACAATTTTTCATGGTCAAGATAAATTCTGGCTTCATTTAACTCAAAAATTTTTTATATAACTACATTTAAAAAATATTTTTTATTGGGGCGCCTGGGTGGCGCAGTCGGTTAAGCGTCCGACTTCAGCCAGGTCACGATCTCGCGGTCCGTGAGTTCGAGCCCCGCGTCGGGCTCTGGGCTGATGGCTCGGAGCCTGGAGCCTGTTTCAAATTCTGTGTCTCCCTCTCTCTCTGCCCCTCCCCCGTTCATGCTCTGTCTCTCTCTGTCCCAAAAATAAATAAACGTTGAAAAAAAAAAAAAAATTAAAAAAAAAATATTTTTTATTAAAATAAAATGCACTGTTTTATCCACTTGAAAAAAAAGACTGTGCAAAGAGCTTTTAGTTTAGATATTTGTTCTACAAATACAAATATCTAGTTTGCCTTTGTTCTACAGATGAAACAGCTCTCTTCTTGTGACACAATCTCTGTGCTTCACACTGCATTCTGAACTGTCATGCTTGCACTTTCCTGTGTAAGAGGCAGCCATGGGAATTTTTCAAATTGCTAAAAAAATGCCTATCTTTTGAAAGGAATAGTTACAAAGGCTACGTATAAATGTAAAGTATGACTGAGATCTATTTTGCCTTCTGCTTTACCTAATAATGGTTCTAGAAATCCACTGGTATACCAAATCACATAGTAAAAAGCAGTATCTTTAGTCTCAGTGTTTTACATCTCATATTCACTCACCAACTGTAATTCTGAAAAAACAAGTCAAAGCATGGCACAAATGCTGGGGGACTTTCCAGGTTTGAAATGGTGAAAAGTTATAATTTTTCATGAGATTAGTACCAAAGCAAGAACATGCAGACTTAGCTACAAGAAAATATAAAAGCAGTAAAAATTATTTTAACATGGTATACTCACGATGGGGAAAGGATCCTCTACAGACAGCTTTGTTTAAAATGGTTACAATAAACATATGGCAGTTTTTAAAATCAGACTCCATTTTCTCTATAGATTCCATTCTAGGAAAGAAAGTAAATTTTAACTTAAATAAGTGCATAAAGTGTTAATACATAGGCTACAAAATATCTTTGGGATAATTTCAAATGTACTTTCGCTAAATTTCCTAAGTCTAAAGATTATAAAATAGAAAATTTCCTGCCCCACTTCAAAATAAAAGCTTTCCAAATGTTTGAAGGAAAGAGTTATTAACACATAAAACTGTGCTGTTGTGGGGTCGCATTGAATTCTGGAGTTGGGATGACTGGGGGTGTTCCCTTTTACATTACACATTTCTGTATTTTCACTTTTCACAAGCATATCTTCTTTTTGAAACAAAAAATACATTAAAGATACAAAACCCTATATTAGAACATACATTAGGAGAGAACGCAGAGGACACTCACATGCCCACATCCAGCTTCAGCACAGCCCAGCCCTGCCATACTGTGAAGCACATTTGAAACATCACAGCCCTTCAGTCATAAATATTTCAGTGTGTATATAGTAAAGATAAAGACTCCTTTTAAAACAGCCACAATACCATTTTCTTGAAAATACTTAATGATTTTTTAATATCATCAAATAACCAGTCAGCTTTTGAATTTCACATCGCTTTTGCAATTTTTCACTCTTCTGCTTCAAGTCTGAATCAGGGCCAATTAATTTCCATAAACTGTAATGGCTGATATGCTTAAGTCCTCCTCACTCCCTGTTTTTGTCTTCACAATTTACTTATTGAAGAAACTGAAACAGTTCAATTTTAGCCAAGCATATGCAGGAGTGTTATTATTTTCTCCTCCATCTCACAGTGATATGGAAAGAAAAATGTTCTTTACACACTTTGAGACACCCATAATAAAACAAATAAGACTTTTATTTTCATCCTTTTTCATAATATTTCAATTATGAATTTTACCTACACTCTTAGTTTCTTCATACAGACAAAGACTGTAGACACAGCCATAGACTGATATAGCCATAGACTAAGATTTTAAATTAGATCATAAACTCTCCCCTTTTTACTGACTAGTACAAGCTATTATTTCAACAGCCCAGTCAACCAGACTTGTATTTTTATTTCTGAGAAGTAACACAGGCATCATCATTACATTAATTTTATGAACAAGACAAGGACAAGCTACTGAACTGTACATTCAGGTTAACAGTAGAGGATGGCACTCTACATAGGAAGAGCAACAAGCTCTGAGCTCCACAACTGTACTCTGACTTCAGGGCATCTGTCTTTCTATGGGACTCTGGACTATAATCTACCGTAACATCCAGAATTTGCTTTAAAATGATTCAGCAAGTATGAACAGGGGTGTGTGGTAAACACAAAACAGAACTGGTCATTGCTGGTAACTGCTGAAATGGGGTGATGGGCAACCAGGGTTTGTTACGCAGTTCTCTCTACTTCTGTATATGTTTGAAATTCATAATTAATAAAACCTATACAAGAATACATGAATGCAACCTAAGAATATTTATTTGTTCTAATTTAAATTTTCATATTTTTCTGGTTTTACCGTTCTTAAAAAACTGCACTTTCTTGATGCTGCCTAGTTAAGGTGAACACATTCAATTCTTCCCTTAAATATAAGTGATATATGATATATTGCCAAGATTGAGAAAAAGGGCTCCCAGAATGCATTTTTTAAAAAAAGGCATTTCTTCTTTCTCTCATTAGTGGGGTGGCTCACTGGCTCAGTTCGTAGAGCATGTGACTCTTGATCTCAGGGTCATGAGTTCAAGCCCCATGTTAGGCATAGAGCTTACTTTAAAAAAAAAAAAAAAAAAAAAAAGGCTTCCAGAAAGAAGCCAGTTAAAAGGGAAGCTGAAATGGTCACAAGCTACATACTTACTGCCATGCCCCTAGGCCTGCTTGCCAACCATCCGCAAACATGAGAGCCAAATTCAGTACCTTCATGATGGCTTCTTTCACAAAACTGACCTGGAGATCAAAGCCACAGAGAGAACACAGGCTCTGTAACTATGTTTGGATACTGACACCAACACTTTAAAAGACTGCCTTGAATCAAATAAAGAAGGGTACTAGGCTCTGAATAAGTGCACTTGGAATCAGATATGGAATCAGGTCACACATCTAATGCACCTATGATACCGGGAGTATTACCAGCAGAGTCTGACCAACAAAGCAAGTGACCATTTCCTGGGATGGCCATTTAAGTTCACCAACGAAAGGGAGTAAGTAATTCCAATGGCTATAAATTGACTTAATCCCATATATTCTCACTAAGCTGGATGTACTTCCTGACTAAAACACTATTATTCCACAACTGCAGACACAATTTTCCAATTGAATCCAAGCACAGAGCAGGGTGCAGATGATCACAATACAGTTCTCATTTGTTTCTCTCAGGTATAATTTCTAGTAGTATAGTACACATACTTCATTTGACCTGGTCATTTCGTAACGAATATCCTTAAAATTCCAAAATACAGAGACAACCTCCCTTGACCAGCTTCCTTCCTGCCTCAACTGGCCAAATCTGCAGGTGACATCTCATGTACCTTTTCTCTCAGCAAGCATCGATCATGGATGGTGGACAAATATCTATAGTGAATTTTAATCAACTGATCTAAATCCTTGGCTTCCTCGACTTGATGTTGAAACTCTAGTCCTGTGCTGTGAAGAATCTTGGAAGAGAAAGATGAAAAGTTTAATTAGCAGACTTCTTTGAGGACTTGTATGCCAGACACAAAACTTATTACCAACCTCTTCTATTCCTCTCAAATTCTTTCTTCAATAATTACAACTGTAAAACTCACAAAGTACCTTCTTTAAAGGTTGAAATTCTTATCCTAGAATAATGGTAGATGCCAGTCCTTTAGGAAATCCATTTGCATGGTAAATGAATGCCTTACTTTGGACTAGCAGACTGTTTCTGGTGGGGAGGGACAAATGCACTGATTAAAAAAAAAACAACAATAACAACAACAACAATTATCAGGTAAACTGAATTTATATGTTTCTTTTTTTTTTTTAAGTCCCAATGTTTATATACTGGTCTTTCTTTAAAAGGAGCACAGATGTTCTTCAACTAGAAAACAAGAAACAAATTAAGCAAAAAATTAAACTACCAATTACTCTCAATAATTAAGGGCTTAAGGCTGGCCCTCTGAAGGCCACTAATGCATGGTAAACAGAGAGTACCTCTGCCATATGCATCATGTCTAAAACACAGGCTTCAAAGTTTCAATTCTTTCAAATAAAATGAGTTTCAGAGCTTCTATACCAGAATGACTACAAATTAGTTTTTTAAAGCAACCATTTAAAATCCCAAATGAGGGGGCGCCTGGGTGGCTCAGTTGGTTAAGCGGCCGACTTCGGCTCAGGTCATGATCTCGCGGTCCGTGAGTTTGAGCCCTGCGTCAGGCTCTGTGCTGACAGCTCAGAGCCTGGAGCCTGTTTCAGATTCTGTGTCGCCCTCTATCTGACCCTCCCCCGTTCATGCTCTGTCTCTCTCTGTCGCAAAAATAAATAAACGTTAAAAAAAAATTAAAAAAAAAAAATCCCAAATGAGTACTGTCTTCCAACAACACTGCCACTATTCAAATATCTGAACTCTTCTTCCAGACTTCCTCTAGATCTGGTTTTAAGATGTGTAAGAGAGTAGTTTCACTTACTTTGCAATGAGTTGCCTCTTGTTTTTAAGAAAAAAAATAATCTGGCTGCATCTCTCTCCTTATATACCACACTAGCCTGACAGATTTTTTGGCTGTTATTAAAATTTGAAGCCATTTTCCAGGGGCAGATCTGTTAACCACTAATAAAGTTTAGAGGGCTATCCTACAAGTTCTAAAGGTGATTCCAAAAGAGGAGCTCTGGGTATGCCTCTTCCAAGAGGCTGCTGGACAGGAGGGACAGGAGTCTCAAGATACACATTCTGTGGAATATTTAAAAAAATATTTCCCTCCACTGCCATGTTATTTTATGATCAAATATTTCATATGTGCTATTTTCACACTTACAGTCTACAAGTATTTTGTGGGCTTTTTACCTATAAATATATCACAAGTAATCCAGACACAAACCCTGGTCATGATGTAGTTGTGTAAGCTGTTCACAAAGTGCATGAGCTTCACTCTCAAGAGGAACATACGATGAATCTGTTGTCTTACTGTTTCCTTCTGTGGTCCAAATTGAACAGTTGTGTCTTCTTCACATAAGAGTCCTTCTCTGAACTGTGGTTTTCCAGCAGTACTAGTTAGCTCTGCATAAGATGCAAAATCAGAGTAGGTGGGAAGAACATCTACTCAGGCCCCACCCATACCACTGCACAGGGGTGGGACTTCTGGTGTCATCATCAACCCGCAAAGGGCACTCTACAGGAGTCACATCAGGGACCATGCCTTCAGTGTCTCTGGAAGGTAAAGCAGTGAAAAGTTCCCCCATATCACCTTGATTATCACTGTCATTTAAATTTAAATGCAAAGTCCCAATAACTTGTCATTAAAAATTTTTGCATAATTTAAGAATATTTATTCTGGCTGAATTCCTAATCAAGTTGCTATATTTCAGGTTGACTGCAGTACTAATTCCCTGGTATTTCATTCAGGGAAGTTAATTCTGACATCTGTAAAACTGTTACTATAAATACTTGTCATCTGGGCACTTGTATATACATAAAAAATGACCAAAGATCACCTACTTCTTTTTTTCAGGGCTAAAATTAAATTATAATTTATCTGTTGCAAACAAATCTTACCACCGAATAGTAAAACATCCAGACTATATTTTGCCCATTTTATCTGCAATAAGAGAAGGAACACCTGATTATAAATTTTCTGACATTCCAAACTTATAACAATATCCACAGGCCATGGGATCTATGAAAACAAAAACAGAAAATTAGAGTAGAAAGTAACCTATTACTTGCACATTATAATTTTAATAGAAAACAATGTTCTTACTAAATGTATTAGCACATACCTTGTAGCTCAAGGTTAGACCATCTAAGATATGAACAGGGAGTTTCTTCTTAGTTGTGTCAACATTTTCATAAGATATAGACAGACTAGATAAAGAAATTTCAGTTTTAGTTTGAAAATTCTATGCTCACATAAAAAAAAACTCTAAAAAACCACTAGCATTTTACCATTTATTTTATTTACATATTTCAAAGAAGACATATTTCATAAAAGGAATGCAAATATTTAAATAAAGTGCTATTTTCTAGCCTATATTCCAGAATAAGAATTTGGTTTTAGAAGAGGGGCAAAGTTTTTAAACAATGGGTTTAGCTATGAAAAAGAGACTCTTAAGTGTAGTAAGTTAATTAGGAAAAAAGATGAAGTTGGGGAAAAAAATATAATGGTAATAGGTTGGGTGCTTAATTAGGATAAAATTCAGGCTACAGGCTCAGAAGATGGACACTCTGCTGAAGATAGTGGGGGGGAGGTTGCTCTCCTTGCCTTGAAGAGTGTGTATGCAAGTGTGTTAACAAGAATGGGGTCTGCTTCCAAAGCAAAGGTGTTGCACACTGCTTCATCCATTCTTTCCTAATGATGCTTTGAAAGTAACCCTCACTAGAAATAATCAACAAATATGCAAGGAAATGTCCTTGCACCAGGCACTACGTGGGCACTTAAGTGCCCTTACTCATTTAATCCTCAGAGTAGTCCTGTCAGAAGACTAGGAAATGATGTAACTCTCCCACAATTATAGGGGCACCAAGTGATGAAACTGGAATGCAGACCATGGAAGGTTTAAGTGTACCATGGAGGTGGGGAGGCAGCCTTACAACTAGAGATGGAAAACGTAGCATGTGACTTATAAATTAACCAATTCATTCCATGTCACAGGCACTAGTCAGAATTTTTTTAGCCCATAAATTTGTTACATGTGTATCCACTAAGTACTCAGAAGGCACTAACTGAATACGTTATTTGTCATCACCATGCCAAGCAGGTGAAAGAAAGTCAATCCCTCTCCTTAGAGCCCAGAGCAAATCACAAAGCAGATATAGGGTGCTACACCAATCCAAGCCAGGCAGGACTTTGTAGGAAAGCAGACCATTGCCAGGCCATGCAAATGGAAGTGCACATAACTAGAGGAAGCTATGAAGCAGGGAAAGTATAGCTCTTGGGCAAACCAGAAATATTCTGAATCCCTGAAATGTAAAGTGTGGTAGGAGAGAAAACATGATGTGTCTATATGTGTACACATACTAGAAATGAGGCTGAGAAATGAACCAGACAGTAAAAGCTTGCCCTCTCATGAGAAGCAGCTCCCTAGACAGATCTCCTTTTGTACCAATGACTTTAACTTAAGAAACAGAAATAGAAATTCCTAAAAGTAGAAAGTAAACTAAAACAAATGAACTTGACCCTACATTAAGTTGGTAGCATAATCACATGGAGAATTATTCCAAGTGACCTTGAAATACAGTATTCTGATGGCTTGATAGTAGAGGAAGAGAAAACAATCACAAGCATTAATTTAAACTCTCAGTGGGCTTGTTGCTATTATTGTCACTTTGGAACTGTTACTTAGAGAATAAAACCATTAATTATATCAATGTATTAGTAAGCACTCAAGGGAAGAAATACAAAGGAAAATCAAAGAAGTGAAAAATGAATCTTTAATATAAATTGGAAATATCAATATGAGCTTATGATTTTTTCTTCCTACGTATTTCCCAGCTCTGTCAACTGAGAAAGTCCAGAAGTACTGACAATCCAATACTGATGAACACTCTGGCACCAGATCAAGGGCTTTTTAAGCCATCAATTAAATGGGACTACTGCTCCTAGCAGGAGGTGCACAAGACAAGCCTGGACATCTAGTCCTGAAAGTAAGAATGCTCTCTGAGATTACTAGGGCTGAATGAAGGGTCTCCCTCTGGGTGAAAATGAGACAGTCTGAGCAACAAAAATAACTGTAATAGACTGCAACATATTAAATACAACAAGTTCATGAGTTTCTGCTGGTAGTGAAAAACAACTTTCTCTAGCTCCCTCTGGGGATTGCTGGGTACCAATTACTTCTTATGGAAAGAATCCAGCTGTTACACCCTGCTTTTACTAACCACATAACTGATGAAAATTCTGCTTTTATAGAAGAATTAAAGGTAATAAGAGTGACAAAAATAAAAGAAATTAAAAATAAAAATAATCTACTAAGTAGTAGGTTGGGAACTTGGGTGTGGTTGTAAGAGAAAGAATGCTTTGTCTGGCATGTAATGTTAATTATTATGACTATTACTTTTGAAGGACCATTGAGGGAGCTGAGAAAGAGAGCTGAACAGGGACATGGAACAGGAAAAAGGATTGCCAAGCAGTGTACAAGATGAGTCTTTGCTTCACAAAGATTTGATGGCACCAACCCACAGACCTGGGTGAGTTGTTCAGCAGGCATACTGACAGGGAGAAAGGGTTGATTAGCTCCACAGTTGGGGATAAGCTCACCTAACGGTTTGAAAACATGCAACTCTGCCCATTAAGAGGTGGAATCTATTTCCCACCACTGAACCTAGCTGGCCTATGACATGGTTTGACCAACAGCATGTGGTAGAAGTGAAGGTCTATGAGGCCTAGAGCTCAGGCCTCAGCAGGCCCTGAGAATTTTGCTCGTTTCAAAACACTGCCTAAGACTCGTATGTAAGAAGGCCAGTGCATTTGGCTGGAGGGTGAGGCCAGTGGGCAGAGAAATTCCACACCCAGTGGCTAACACTGTCCTATGAGGCAGGACATCAGACCCTGACAGCCTACATGGCACCAGCTCATCATCACTTCTTGCTTAGTAGGTTAAGTCATGTAGCTACCTTCGGCCTCAGTTTTCTAATATGAAAAATAATGTTAAAATTCATAGGGTTAGTGTGAGGAATAAATGATATATATAAGAATTCACAGAGGAGTTATTACACATGGATTGTTTTATATTATTTAAAATAAAAAGGTGATATATTTTACCGTGAACTATCTTCAGGATAACGTTGTCCTACTGCTTCCTGAAGCTGAACATTAAGAAAAGACACATTCTGCCAGGTTTCCTTTTCTCTTATTTTATCAAAAATTGATGTGTAGAAGTCATACATGGTATCTCCACCTTCCATTAAGAAAAAATTTCTCATGGCCTGCAAGTACTCAACCAATCTAAATGGAGAGAAAATAAGCTACAGAAAGATCTTACACTCATGAGACAGAATTTTAGATCAGTAGCAGATTTTGTACACTACTAATTTTGAAAGAGTTTTACATTCTACATTTACTAAAAACAGAAATACAACAAACAAACAAACAAAAATCCCAAAATACTAATACCTCTTAGAGACTTTTAAAATAATAAAAATAGTATATGTTTGCCTTTAATAGAAAGAAATGTTACTTTTCTATAACACTGTAGAAAGATGGCCAAAGTAAAAAAAGTGTAACCATCTAGGGGCTCCTGTGTGGCTCAGTCAGTTAAGTGTCCAACACTTGGTTTCAGCTCAGGTCATGATCTCACGGTTCATGGGTTCGAGTCCCACATCAGGCTCTGTGCTGACAGTGCAGAGCCCGCTTGGGATTTTCTCTCCCTCTCTCTCTGCCCCTCCCCTGCTTACTTGCGCACATGCGCACTCTCTCTCAAAATAAATAAAATAAACTTAAAAAAAAAAAAAGTGTAAAAAAAAAAAAGTGTAACAAACTAGTCAGTCCAAATCCTGCTATTCATAGTGAATTTCTACTGTTAATATTTGGGATATTTCTTTCTAGTCTTTTTTTTCTATGCATTTGAAAAAATATAGTTCCCACTGTATTATATATCCTTTTTAAGCTTTAAGAACATTTTACATTATTTAAAACTCTGGAGAAACATAAACTTTATAAAGTTCATACATGACAGATTTGCCAAAGCTTATATGGATATGCCATTTTTATGGATATGCCATAATTTAAAGAACTGGTCATCTATTACTAAGTAATTTCATGTTCTTCCCTCTGACAGCAAACTTTCAGATGGGCATTTTTGTGCAACAAGCTTTTTCTGTATTTCTTTCGGGGTAGAGTCTCAGAAATAAAGGATTAAATTTCACAACATAATGGTGTGAAACACAGATGGCTAGTTGATTCTCTCAAAATTATTCATTGCATACTCATTTCCTACTTTATTAAAAATTAACTTGAAACATAGGTTTTAAAATAATTTCAATTGTTCTTAAAGTGCAATAAACTACTGACTACTTCCAAAATTAAACTACTCCTTTATACCTGTAGTCTTTTTTCAGAGTTTGCATGAGGTTTCCACAGCACTCGAGATACTGCTTATCAATATGAGGATAGAGGCAAGATCTCAGTGTTAACTCAAAAGTCTGGCATGTCACAGATTCTGATGATCTATCCACACATATATCTTCACCAGCAAACTTCTCATGAAAGTCACTCTGTTCCAAATACAGCCTTTAGGATAAAAACGTGAGTCTTTTTTTTTTTTTTTTATGAGCTGCTATCAACAGAATTCCCTTAAAAGCAAAACTCCAGAGTCCAATTTTTACCTTTAGTCTTAAAATTACCAACTATTACAGAAAGAAACTCCCCCCGCCCACCCCAAATATCCTTTAAGTGAAACAGTTTTTCAACCACTTCTGCCTTAAGGGTCAAGTACTGAGTAGGTCTTTTTAGCCACTGCGTCTCAGGCAGTATATGAGGTGAATAAGGGCAATGCATTAGACAGTAAGGCATGGTGCGCCTAAAACCACCTAAGGGCCAAGATACATTTTAAGTAGAGTGTGTGTGTGTGTGTGTGTGTGTGTGTGTGACATGCTTGCACAAGACCTAGACTTTCAGAAGTATCTTCTGTATGAGTAACAGCAACTCCCCATGGGTGTAGGACACAAGGTAGTCTATGGACTTTCACAAACAAGGAGGCCAAATTGAACACAGTGCCCTCTTGCATTCCATTCATTAGAAAGGATAAGCTACAAAGGTTTTTATTTTTAAGGCTGGAAAGCCCTAACTAGCAGAAATTAACAGTTACTAAATACTGCACAGATTCTGCCATTTCAATTATCTAAAATCTTGCAGCTTTGTATCACCTTGCAAAGTTAATTGCCAGCAGGGGATCGTGAACATCATCCAGTTCAAGATGCCTTTCAGCAATGGACTGCATCTTAATTAGGTTCTCTTTGGTAGCCTGCTGCTCAGTGAGGACCTGTGCAGTGGAATCTTCTCCATGTCGAAGACGCGACTGTACAGATTCCAGAAACAGGGTATACAAGCTTTTTCTCTCTGCATCTGAAACAAAGAAATATGTTTGGTGAACTATATTCCTGTAAATAATATTAAGTAGCATTAGGTAGTTTTATCCTAATATAGTCTGGTATTTTTCCTTTGGCCTATGAGAGTTTATCCCTGTTTCTTTACTTCCACAGTACAGTACAACTAAATACTTTTATACCCTGTTAGATAATTGCAAAGTTCATAAACATTCAAAGTATGAGCTAATTTTTTCTGAACAGAGTAACACCCTAAGTAGGGTGCTTAAAAGTTAAGTTACCACCATACTGGACAGCACTATAATACTTATAGGAGTCATAATTTCATTGGGGAAAACACTTTTGACAGTGGTCCCGAAAGCTCATTACATTTTATTATTCAGTCAAAAAAGGAAATATTCCACAAAATGAAAATATTATTTAAAGTAAATACAACAATTCAAAGTAATGTAACATTAAGGTGATTTAAAAACAATTAAGGCTATATATACACCTTTCAAATCTTTTTAGTCAGTTGTTAAAAGTTGAAGTATATTGCTTAAATTGTATCAAAAAAGGCCATAAATTATATCAAGATTTTCTTGAAATCTATGATCAAGTCTAAACTGCTAACCAACAAATTCATATCTGCCAGGGTTTACATTTATGTCCTCAACAGCTAAATGCTGCACTGCATTAAGAAATGCTAGAGATTTATTTTTTAAATGACCAGTTCTAAGGAATCCAGACTAAGGAAAAAGCATGTGGAACTTATCATCACTGCAATCACTGCCTTTGAAACAGTGCTAAAAGTTTCCACTGAGGATAATCTTTTCAATTAGGAGCAGTAACAAGGTGATAATTTCCATGAAAGTAAAAGGCTTTGATAATTTTCAAACTACAAAATAATTACATATTTCAGGTTGACAAAAATGAAGACAGAGTAATTGCCCGAATGCTGAGGGATACATGGAAAAGGAACCTTTTACCTCTGGCTGTGTCCTGGCACGTGGTGCTCTTTGCACATTGTAGGTTCTTCAGCAGCTGCATTGACTTGCCAGCCATAATTATCTGCTTAAGGACAGGTTTGAGGAAGGACACCATGGTATGCTGCCTGCTGGAGGGCCCCTGGTCACTGCCAGAACTTGCACTAGCATTATCACTCATTTTTTCTTCATTTTCTGTCTTTTCCGATACGCTGTATAGTGTGTAAGTTGCATACCAAAAGTCTCTGTGATTTACTGGAACATTTTTGTTTCTATAGAGATTCAAAAGAATTTTAAACTTCAACTTTACTTCCTTAAAAACAACAGTGTATCTGTTTTAGCTTAGGCATGTTGTCCAGACATTCCAAAACACAATAATATCAATTATTAGTAATATGAAGCAATCTTCAGGCAAAATGGGGCAGAGGTTTTATCTGACTTCAGTTTAACAGAAAAGTGGATAAATACTCTGAATGACACAGGTAAAATTTAAGTAAAAAGTTGTGGGGAATAAGCTTAGAAATTTCCTGGGCTTATACCAATGGGTTAACAAGGCATAAAGAATTACAAAGCCATAGGATGCTCACACCTTGGTTTGGGTAAACAAGATTAGGTAAATAAATATAGAGAAGGTGGGGCAGAAGCCCCAATATAGAACATATGAAATAAACAAGATTAGATATTCAGGGTGGAAGCACCCCCCAGTTTAGTAGTATAGCAGAAGGCTGCTTTCACAGGAGGAAAGGAACAAGTTAGGTAAACAGATAAATTGGCCTACAGACTGTTGGGCTGCAGCTGAAGCAGCCTGGAGAGATGATTAACAAAAGAAAGGTGCCTCGTTAACTCTGAGGTTATTTCCCCTACCAGTCTCATCCCCTAGGCTAGCTAAGATAAACAAAGGTGGTGCTTCATGTCTGCTGTAAACAACCTCCTGCCTGACTGCCCTGGTGTCAGGATTTTGCTTTGTATTAACCCACACCCCTAACCCCAAATATCTTCAAGACTCCCTTCCCCTCACGTCTACAAGTTAATGTTCACAGATTCAGTCTCTCTTTGTGCATGTCCATCGCCATGTTTGTAAGCCTTCTGATCTTAATAAAAACGGGGCAAGGACCCTTATTTGGGGCTCCTGTCTTCCAGGATATTAGCCATCTCTTGCTTTTCATCCTGCGTCCTGCTCTTTTGCTGGCCAAAAGAGAACTTCAGACTTAGAGTCTATGACAAAAAGTTTCTTGAATTAGAATTAAACAAAATATGATTACTTTGATTCTCTTTAGAAGTAGAATAAAAGTTTACCGATTTTGCCATTTCCTATAAAAGTAATCTCTACACTTCTACATTTTTTCGTCCCATACAGATTCTTAACTGAAATGCTTTTAACAATCAAATGATGGTCACTCACCACCCTTTAATAACAGCCAGAATCCCATTTTCACAAAAATTACCATGTAAGATCGATGAAAAACGATATAATAACAGACATGAGATTCAGTTAAAGAAGGCTAGCTAATTTACATCTGCAGTGTATAAGCAGGGTTACCTTTTCAGAGTTGTAAGGACTTAACAGTCTCCTTTCTGATGAGTTAAATGGATAGCTATCCATAAAAATCACACATCTAAACAGAGTGCATAACTTAAAAGTGAGTTAAGAGAGTTCTACATTTGCAGTTTGTATGATTCTGCTCAGAAACATCAATTAACTGAAGGGGAAATCATAAGTGAATTATGATTTTCCTTAATTGTTTTCCTAAATATTTTATTAAGAAGGTTAAAAAAGCCAGCTAATTTGGAAAAATAAATGTATTCGAGGCATATTCCGTAATACTTTCAAATCTTTTATCCTACTGATTAATTTATAACAGCAATTAGTTGAAGCCACTTATTATCACCTAAATTCCCTCTTTAGGAAGCAATATGCCTTTTACCATACCAGCCAACCATAAACACACTATCATTTAAAAAGCAGAATTTGCTAAGGAAAGCTGTGAACTGACATAAAGCTTGGGAGACATATTTTTGGCTGATTCCTGACATCTTCTATAAAAATTCAATACAACTTGTTTATGGTAAAAACATAGTCTGTCACTGCACTGGTCTCCCTCAGTATCACCTGAACTACAAAAGTGCATTATTTTCCTGTGAGAGAAAAAAGGTATGAGCAGCACCCCAGGTCTCCCGAGCTGTGTGTAGGACCCAACCTCTGGATGATGAACTCCCTAGCGCAGTCACATAGGTGCCCATGCACGATCCACTCGTCCACAATCTGCAGGTAGGGTCTTACTGTTTCCACCCAGAGAGAGAACAGCAGGGAGACCTGAGGACAGAGTGTGCACAATCAACTATCAGAACCCCCTTGTCTCTGGATAAAATGAAGTTTAAACATTTCTGAAACACCTTTTCAAAAGTAATTGTTTTTTGACAAAAAGAAATTAAAAATCCAAAACATATTCTATAAAATCCTTATGAAAACTCACCTAAATATGAGATGACCATATTGTCTGTAGTCCATACCAGGACTCTCTTGAGAGTGAAAGTTAAAGAGGAACAACAGTTCTAAGTAGGATAGTCCAAACTGAGGCACGCTTATCCTATCTAAAGCACACTATTAGCAAAATGTCCATTTGGAATGAGGAAATGATTTCATTCTACTATAGTTCCAAGTAGTAAAAAAAAAACTGCATAGCTGAAAGAAATCAACCTGTTTTATACTGAACTGCAGTATCAAAATGGTGAGAAAAGTTACATCACCAAACTAGGAAATATACCTAGTGCATGTGTATCCAAACATCCAAACAAAATGTGTATCTGACCAAACAAACCTGCAGTTCTCTAGATTATAAATCACCAGTTAGATTTGTATTTTTAAAAATTGTGACAAAAAACAGGTAACACAAAAATATACTATCTTAAGCACTTTAAAGTGTACAATTCAGTAGTGTTAAGTATATTCATATTGTTGTGAAAACAGATCTCTGGCATGTTGCAAAATTGGAACTCTGTACCTATTAAATATCTTCTCTTTTCTCCTCTCCCCAGTCCCCGGCAGCCACCATTCTACTTTCTGTTTCTATGAATTTGACTACTCTAGATACCTTATATCTATATAATCTATATCTATCAAATCTATTAAGATTTGTATTTTTATTCAAGGAAGAGTTGCTGCAAATATCTATAATAAGTCAGCTAGGCATTTTTCACATCTTGCTTTTATGCTTTGCTTTGTTATTGCTTCATCCTTCTGGTGACCTTGGCGATTAAAAGTAAGAAGCTAGTTTCCTGTAGCCCTGAATTTAGAAGCCAATTTTAAAACTCTGAAAAAACCAAAACCAAAACCAAAAACAAAACAAAAGGATGCCTGAGGTGGCTCAGTCATTTGAGTACCCAACTCTTGATTTCAGCTCCAGTCATGATCTCAGGGTCATGGGATTGAGGCCAGTGTCAGGCTTGTGCTGAGCGAGGAGCCTGCTTAAGATTCTCTCTCCCTCCCTCTGCCACTCTCCCCCACTCACACACTCTCTCTTTAAAAACAAAAACACCCTCTGAACAGCTGTCTGACACACGATTTAAGTACCATTTTTACAAAGAACTATATGACAGTCTATCCACCACTCCTTTGGCTGAACAGAATGGAGTCATACAACTTAGAAAGGACAAAAGTCTTACATACAGTTTGCTCAGAGGCTTCTCCAACAATGTCATATTCAAGAATGGCCTTGTACAGTGTGTTAAGCAGATGAGATGCCCGAACAACATTTCGAGTGTCAGGTGGAACTTCTGCTACTCCAGTACTAAATACTTTGTGGAGAACTTTGAGCTGAGCCAGTCGAGGTGACAACTTGTCCACCACTATTGCAAGAGTTATTGTAGTGTCTGCAAAATATCAAGGGATCAAACTCACTAGCAAGGAAGCATATCTGCATTCAGAATGTGATATAAAAGGTAAGTCATAGAAAGATATGGCGAACTGGAGGGTGGTGGGTTTTAATCTCATTTCATAAGGAGCTAATTTCCCCAAAGAAAAAACAACTCTGAAGAAAAATAATGTATAAAGTAACTGAATTTCAGGGAAAAGGAAATAAAAGTGATTCTTAAACTCGACTTCAATTCTTAACATAAAAATACAAATTAAAACTACACTGGGCAAATAAACAGATAACAGTTGACTACTGTTTTAGTGAGGGGATGGTTATTACAAAGGGGAGCAAGAGCCAGTTTTTTCATGGGATTGGCAGAGCTCCGTATCCTGAAGATGAAAGTGGATATACAAATATATACATGTGACAAAGTGTCACAAAACTATACACAAAGATATTACTCCTCTCCCCACAAAATATCAAGTACCTGCAAAACTGGTAAAACTCATGTCAGGTCTGCAGAGCAATTACATGTATTGTGCCAATGTCAATTTCCTAGTTTTGATAACATACTATATGCAAGGGTGGAAGTTATTGGGGAAGTTGGGTGATGAGAATACAGGTCTTCTGGGTACTATTTTTTGTAGTAGTTGAAAATAAAAGTGGTGGAGGGGAGCTGACACTGGTTACCATTTTGTAGCTGTCATACTGGTGATCAAAAGGTTTGACAGCACACTGTTGGTAAGAGTGTAAGGAAACAGGTATTCATATACATTGCTGGCAACTGTTCTCTGTGGAAAACCATGTGGTGATGTGTATCAAAATCACACATGCTATCACATACTCTTTAACTTTAGCAATTCCATTAACAATGTATGCTATAACTTGCAGCTCGTGTGTACAATTACATGTTAGTGGTTATCACTACAGCACTGTTGGCAATAGCAAAAGATCAGAAATAGCCTAAATGTTCATCAAAAGGGGATTGGTTGGGTGGTTGGGGGTGCCTGGGTAGCTCAGTCAATTGAGCATCCAATTCTTGATTTTGGCTGAGGTCATGATTCCAGGGTCATATGATTGAGCCCCGCATCAGGCTCTACACCAAGCATGGAGCCTGCTTGGGATTCTCTCTCTCCCTCTCTGCCCTTCTCCCCACTGCTTGCGTTCTCTCTCTCTAAAATAAAATTAAAAAGTCCACAACAAACAAAAGGTGATAAGCCTATTATACATTCATACATCTTTGTAAAAGAGAATTTGTAGAAAAGAATGAGGAGGCTCTTTACATTTTTGTATGATATAATCCTCAAAATTTAAATTAGAAAATAATTTGAAGAGAGTAGTTAACAGACTACAAGGTATGTATATATGAATATGCATTGCTTGCATATGTTTAAATTATTTCTGGAAGGATGCACAAGAAACTTATGACTTGGTTGCCTCTGGGGAGGGGAACTGAGTACTTGACTGGAGAAATAGCACAGAAAGAATAATTTCACTGTAAACTTTCTATAGTATTTGGATTTTTAGGGAATGGAATGGCTTAAAATACAAATTTAAAATGATTTAAAAATTATCATGATTATTACTTACTTGCAATAGAATTTTCAAACCTTTTATCAGTTAATAACCTAGATGGCATTCAAAATATGACTTATGTCTTATGAGTAGAAGGGAAGGACATTTAAATACCATTATTGATGATGTACTTCTCAATGTCTGTAAGTTCCTTTTTGAAACTAATAAAGTATTTGTACAGGGCCCACATGAAAGCCTGGTATGTCCTAAAGGGAGCTTCAGTCAACTTCTTGGGAAGAGAACCATTTCCAGGTAACATGCTTTCGGAGCTGTGCCCCATGACTTCATCGATGAATTCCTGGAGTCGAAACACAACTTGGCCATATGCTGCTATTTGTTCTAGCACTGATCGTAAACAGCTCTACAATAGAAGCAAACCGCAAACATGTGGTCTTCTATAAACATTCAAATTCATATTCTTTCACTAAAATATTTATTTTGTGACTGTTTTAAACACTATGCTTAGTAGGGAACAAAATGAATAGTTTTATACTCAAAGGAATACAAACATTAATTTCTACAGAATATAGAATTGTGGCTTATACTTTTTAAAAACACCTATAAGGTAAATAAATATGCTACAAGCAAAAAAATATATAGTATACAGCTTTCCAATATAGAACTGACAAAAAGCAGAACATGTAAATTGAAACTAAATGTGAATATAACACACACTATTAAAGAATTCTCTAGCATTGTAAAGATGCATAACTTAATTTGGTCTTTGGGACGTTAAGTAGATTTGATAACTAATTTTAATATTGCAAAATGTTCTAAAGTTATATAACCAGGGTTTACATAAATCCTTTTATTTAATTTTAATTAAAAAAATTACAAATAACTTACATGTGTCAAATGAGTTACTATAATACTGTTTCTCACAGTTACCTTCCCATCTATCAACTGATATATAAAGAGCTTTTTTACCCCTGAAAGTAACCTGAAATGAAATAAAAAAGATGAATGTACTTTAAATCTATAAAAATGTTCATTACAGTAATGCCTAAGAAGTTTTAACAAAAGATTCAAAATTGGGTGTTGGGGGCAAACAGGTCAGAGAATTAGAAAATAAGAGACATCAATCTTTTTATCTGATTAACTTAAGACTCAAGGGTATTTCAATATTATCTTACAGAGAAGTTGAAATAGTGTTGTTAAAGTATTTCCTCCTCTTTGTGATGGCCCAAACAGATTTCCCATTTTTAAGAAAGTCAATATACTTTTTGGTAGAGAGGACCATAACCTAGAAATCTCAGTAATACCAGCACTACATGTTGCATTTCTCATTTTCATTTTTGTGTGAACACAATCTAAAATCTTAGATTCCTGGTTTCCAGGTATATGACACAGGCTCTCATTGATAAACTCTTACCTATTAAGAGCAGTTAGCAAACCAGGAACCTTTCTTTGAACTCAGATATTAAAAAAGTAATGGTTTAATATAATTAAATCATATACTAAATTATTTAAAATGGGAAAGAAGCAAACATACCAAATTCTCATAATCTCCACAATCAATTCTGAAATATGGGTTACCCTGGACCCCAGGCTACCTGTAGGGGAGCACTAGAAACAGTTTTGGGTTAAACCCAAGGGCCTATTTTTAGAAAGCATGTAAAGAAACTGTGAATACTTTTCCTTATAAACTAAAATTCTGGCTTCTCACTAATAAAATCTTCTACACGAATACTTAGGTTAATAGATCTTACCATAAGGTTTCCCGAATAACCTGTGTCTCAGTAACAAAAACTCTGTCATCAGGAACATATAATGGGTCACTGCTATACAAGTGTTGGTCCCTATTAGACAGTAAACAACAAATGTCAATGAAAAGGTTTCTCATGAAGTAAAATTACATGCCTTAAGGAATATATGCATTTAGGGGAGACTGAGTGGCTCAGCTGGTTAAGTGTCTGACTCTTGACATCTGTGCTGACAGTGTGGAGCCTGCTTCGGATTCTCTCTCCCTCTTTCTGACACCCCCCGCCCCGCCCTTGTGTGCTCTCTTCCTCTCCCTCAAAATAAATAAACATTAAAAAAATATATATGCATTTAGTGGTAATTTAACAAGTAATTAATAAGGCAAATAAACATAATATGCTTTAAATGCCCTCCCATACTCATTTCTACATGTCAACTGTAATACTCTAAGAGAAGTACTTTGAGAATAATTCCAATTATTATATTATATATATATAATAATATATATATTATATTACATCTGAGTCAAATGCTTAAAACTGTGTATTGTTTGGGCAAATAGTAATTGTAATTTTGTAATAAGTGCATTAAAAGAGAAATCAAATAAATGGCCTAATTTAAACCAATCCACTCACTTCGAAAATAAGTCAAAAGACAGATTATAATTAAATAATTAATCTCATTTTAAAAATAATTAAATAATTTAAAACTATGTTCAATTAGAATTGTTTAAAAAAACAAGTTTAAATTTCAGGGAAGTACTCGATTTAAACCACAAATTTAAAGCAAATATTAAAATATCAAAGTTTATTCTATTAACACATTAAATGAAAAACTTAGCTTCTTACCAGACAGAGGCTAAATTGGAGTGCAAATGTAAACTATGAGGAAACCTTGAGGATCTGGCTGTCCAGTACTGATGAACAACATGCTGCTCCAGCCAGCTTCGGCCATTTGGCTCATCTACTGGAAGGATATTTAGTAAGTTTAAGTTATGAGCATTAACAAAGAAACACCTGATCAACTATGCCACAATTTTGGACTTATGGCCTTGTTCAAACATTCAACTGAAAAAGGCTCTTTAGAATATACATACAGGAACATATATACAAAATTTAATTAAGTATCACTGGCTATAAAATAAAAAAGTACTCAATTTTAAATAACCCCATGAATAATAGTTCAATAGTCATGAAAGAAATTGAAATGGTAACCAAAGATGCTCTCAAGAACCCTCAAACCCTGAGGGCTGGTGCTAAGCTTTAAAGAATTAGATATCTGGGGCACCTGGGTGGCTCAGTCGGTTAAGCATCCAACTCTTGGTTTCAGCTCAGGTCATGATCTCTCATGGTTCATGAGTTCGAACCCCTGGTCAGTGCTGCCACTGCAGAGCCTGCTTGGGACTGTCTTTCTCCCTGTTTATCCACCCCTCCACTCGTTCTCTCTCAGAATAAATAAATAAAACTTAAAAAAAAAACTAGATATGTTATTTGGGTTATAAGCTAATATAACATTGCTTCTAAAACCAGATAAAGACATAAAAAAAGTTCATCAAAGAATAAAAATGAAAAATTCTAAATTAAAAAATAGCTAACCCAGGGGTTGGCTCAGTTGGTGGGGCATGCAACTCTTCATCTCAGGGTCTTTAGTTTGAGCACCATGTTGGGTGTAGAGCTTATTTAAAAAAAAAAAAAATAGTAGTAAAAAATAACAGAACCATCATGGGAGTTCAGGAATTCAAGGATGATTCACTAACACAAAATCACACTCATTAAGTGTGGACATCATCCCTCTTAGACTAACATCCCTAAGACAACATCCCTCTTAGACTGAGACCCACTCCAGGAAACCTGCTCTCACTGCTGATGCTTCCTCTGCAGACTAGAGGCCTGGCCAAAACAGACACCATTAATTAATGTGTAACCATTAATGTGTCACAAAGAAAATACAAGATGTAAGAATGGACAGGAGACAAAATTGTCAATACTTGCAGATGATAATGGTCATCTATGTAAAAAACCAAATGGGAGGGGGGCCTAGATGGCTCAGTGGAGCATGCGACTCTTGATCTTGGAGTCAAGAGTTCAAGGCCCCATGTTTGGTGTAGAGCTTACGTTAAAAAAAGAAAAAACCTAATGGGGAGGGAGGTCCAAGATGGTGGTGTAGGAAGACTCTGAATTCCCCTCCACCCATCAACATACCAAATCTATACCTACATATGGAGCAATTTTGCTCAAAGAACTGAGGACTGACTGAACAGTTTCTGTATAAAAGACAGAGGTACCACATAGAGAGGGGTAGGAGAGACAGAAACATGGTAATGACAGGAACATGACCCCCAATGCTGTGAAATGCAGTGGTGAGGGACAGTACTGAGGGACCAGAAGATTTGCCCACCCTAGGACACAGGAAAAAGCTGCGGATTAAAGGGAAACTAGACTAGAATTGAAGGAAACCCATTTACTACCCTAGAGTGTCCACCAGTGAAGGAATAGCTAGAACTCTCTGAGTTGCCAGAGGTACTGGTGAACACCACTGTTTATGTTTCTCCTCAACCTTGATAGTATAGAGGGAAGCAGGGTCTGGGCACTCTAGGTGGCCTGCTACCTTGGTGAGTCCTGGGCCCCTAGCCAACACCAGTTGCAGTTACATACCTAAGATGGCACCACTGCCTCCAAACATCCCAGCTCTAGCCCTCCCAACAAAGCTACCCCAGTGTAGCAGGTAGTGGGACACCCCTAGCCTGCACTGACTATAGCTTCAGCCCTCTTGCCAAAATGGCCCTGATGTGGAGTATCCTGGGGACACCCTGGCCTGTGCTTGCTCTAGTGCCAGCTGTTATGACAGGGCCCCCTGCATGGAGCAGCCAGATTTGTGGCTGTTCAACTGGACCATCAGGGTACCCCTGACACAGACTGCCCCCAGATCTTCATCCCGCACCTGCTATATCTCCAGCCAGCCAGCCTACGTTTCCAGACATACAGTCTATGCAGGGGATGTTCCTATACATGACCATACCTTCAAGACTGGAAGACGTAGGTGTTCCACCTAATTCATAGAAACAAACACAGAAAGTGAAACAAAATGAGAAGGCCAGGGAATATATTCCAAATGAAATAATAAGACAAAACAACTTTTGAACTAAGTGAAACAGAAATGTAATCTAGCTGATAAAGAGTTGAAAGTAATAATCATAGAGATCCTCATGGGACTTGAGAAAAGAGTGGATGAACTCAGAACTTCAACAAAGGGATGGAAAATATAAAAAGAACCAATCAGAGCTTAAGAATACAATGACTGAAATAAAATAAACACTAGAAGGAATTAACAGCAGATTAGAGGATGTCTAGAAGCTATCTAGAAGCAGCTAGATAGCAGTAGCTAAGACAGAATAACGGAAAGCAAAATAATGGAACAGCAAAAAGAAAAAAAGAATTAAAAACAATAACAACAAGGTTAGGTTATACCTCTGAGACAGCAATAAGCATACTAACATTTACATTATAGTGATCCAAGAAGGAGAAGAGAGAGAAAGGGGCAAAAAAATTATCTGAAAATACGATAGCTGAAAACTTCTTTAACCTGGGGAAGGAAACGGACATCCAGGTTCAAGGATGTTGGATACCCAGGTCCAAGTACAGAAAGCCTGAAAAAAGATGAACCAAGGAGGTTCACATGAAGACACATAACATAGAATGTCAAAAATTAAAGATAAAGAGAGAGACTTAAAAGAAGAAAGAGAAAAAGCAACTAGTTTTGTACAAGGGAACTCCATAAGGCTATCAACTAACTTTTCAGCAGAAACTTTGTAGGTAAGAAGGGAGTGGCAATGATATATACAAAGTGCTGAAAGAAAAAACCCTACAACCAAGAATACTCTACCCAGCAAGACTGTTATTCAGAATTTATGGAGAGATATTAAAAAAAAAAAAAGCTAAAGAATGTCACTAAACTGGCCTATAAAAAAATATTCTTTTTTTTAATTTATTTTTTTAATTGGGATTTCTTTTTTTTTTTTTTAATTGGAAAAAAAAATTGGGATTTCTTTAAGCAGAAAAGAAAAGGCTATGAGTAGAAGAAAATTATGAAAGGGAAAAATTTTACTGGTAAACACATAATAAAGTTGGTAGATCAATCACTTATAAACCTAGTATGAAAGTTTAATGTGGGGAGATAGAGTGAAAATGTGCCTTTCAAATGTGTTATATATCTGGGATGTTATATATGAACCTCATAACAACCAAAAACCAAAAAAATATAGAAGATACACAAAAAAGAGAAAAGAATACAAGCAGAGCACTAAAAAAAGTCATCAATCATTATGGAAGAGAGCAAGAGAACAGGAAAGAACCACAAAAACAGAAAACAATTACCAAAAAACAATACTTACATACCTATCAATAATTACTTCAAATGTAAATGAACTCAATGCTCCAATGAAAAGACATAGAATGACTGAATGGATAAAAAAGGTAAGTCCATCTACATGCTGCCTACAAGAGATTCACTTCAGACCCAAGACACATACAGCCTACTGAAAAGTGAGAGAATGAAAAAAGATATTCCATGCAAATATCAGTTCCCCACTCCCCCATACCCCCCAAAACCTGGTGCAGCAATACTTACATCAGAGAAAACAGACTTCAGTGGCTTTGAACCACACAACAGATCAGATGAATTTAGTAGATGCAGAATATTTCTTCCCAAATCAGCAGAATATATGTACTTTTTGAGGGCACATGGAACACTCTCCAGGACAGATCACATGTTAGGCCATAAAATAAGTCTCAATAGATTTAAGATGGAAATCACATCAAGTATCTTTTCTGAGCACAATGGTATGAAATTAGAAATTAATTAAGAAAGCTGGGTAAAAAAACCCAAAACACGTGCAAACTAAACAAAATGATATTAAACAACCAATGGGTCAATGAAGAAAACAAGGAGAAAATTAAAAAATATATGCAGACAAAGGAAAATGGTAACATAAAGTTGAAAATCTTTGGGAGTCATAAAAGCAGTTCTATGAGGGAAGTTTATAATGATACAGGCTTTTCTTAAGAATCAAGAAAATTTGGGGCATCTGGGTGGCTCAGTCGGGTAAGCGTCCGACTTTGGCCCAGGTCACGATCTCGCGGTCCGTGAGTTCGAGCCCCGTGTCGGGCTCTGTGCTGACAGCTCAGAGCCTGAAGCCTGTTTCAGATTCTGTGTCTCCCTCTCTCTGTGACCCTCCCCCGTTCATGCTCTGTCTCTCTCCGTCTCAAAAATAAAAATAAACGTTAAAAAAAATTTTTTTTTAAAAAGAATCAAGAAAATTCTCAAATAAGCCATCCTATCTTATACCTAAAGGAACTAGAAAAACAAGAACAAACAAAACCCAAAGTTAGTAGAAGAAAGTAACTCAGACAAAATAGAACAGAAATAAATGAAATAGAGATAGAAAAGTAGAAAAGATCAATGAAATTAAGAGCTGGTTTTTGAAAAGATAAAAAAGAATTGATAAACCTTTAGACAGACTCATCAAAAGGATTCAAAATAACAAAATCAGAAATGAAAGAGAAGTTACAACCAATAGCATAGAAACGAAAAGAATTTTGTAAGAGACTACTATGAAAAATTATATGCCACCAATTGGACAACCTAGAAGAAATGGATAAATTTCTAGAAACATACAATTTTCTAACCTTGAATAAGGAAGAAATAGAAAATCCAAACAGACTAATTACTAGTAACAAAATTGAATCAGCAATCAAAAAACTCCCAATAAACAGAGGTCTAGGACCAGATGACTTCCTAGGTGAATTTCACCAAATTATTAAAAAAAGAGTTAATAACTATTCTTCTCAAACTATTTCAAAATAGAAAAAAAAAAAAAAATCCAAACTCATTTCATTAGGCCAGCATTACTCTGATACCAAAACCAGATAAAGACATCACAAAAAATTTGATAGGCCAATATCCTT